TCGGCCGAATCACCTTCCTTGCAACTCAGTTCTACGCGAAGCATAATTCTTGAGTCTTCCAAAAGCCTAAACGTGAGCCAATAAGGCCAGCTATAGCACACCCTTACCAATTCCTTCGCTCAAATTGCAACTTATGTTCTTTTCCCCTTAGCCGGAATAACTTACCATTACGCCGATAACCCGAAGCCTCACAAGAAGATAAGCATACAACCCAATTGTAGGCGGTGGGACTCTCCCACTTAGCTTGGAACCACCATTACACAAATCCGGAACCCGCCAAGATTCCTTATCTCTTACTACATAACCTTGCGCAATCAAACCGCCAAATTCCTCGAAATCCTTCTGTAAAACCCTTTATGAATACTCTGAATCATTAACCATATTCACATGACCGATCTCCTTACCGTAGCCGGTAGAATCCTTCGCAGAAGCTTCGCCAACCACACAACCATTGATCTGCTCAGAAGAGACAACCCCAACTGTGGAAATTACGCGCCGACATCTTCCAATATCGCTGCACGGGGTACACTCACTACGACTTCAATAACCCATCCTGAGTCCGTACTCATTCACCAATTGTACTAGTCCATTCACTTCTTATGGACATCAACTAAATGAGAAATAATATCTTCCAAGTCGAAGTCATGTAGTATCCTTCTTCGTATCAAGCAACTCCCTTTCTGTTGCATCCAATCTCCCGCCGTAAAATAGCTAATATTTCAAATTAAGCCCGTGGAGCCAATCACCGTCCACTAAAATTTCCAAATCACTCTAAACATTTCCTCAAGGTGTGTAGTTATCCTGCCACTAAACCCATATACTACTCTGCCACTCTCCCACTTTGGTCAAACTCACTCCTTTAAGCAACTACTCGACTTTCACTTCTTACACCTGACCTTCTAGAAATTTAACCACCGCCTGACACTTTCCACATGTCCTTCATCATCCTTCGCCGCCCAGCCGATGCCTTAGATCAAAAATCTAACTCAGTAGCTCTTGAACCAATAGACCGCTACTAACTTTAAACCTCTCCGAAGATCATCTCTTCTCGAGTCATCTATATTATAAACATCGATTCCATCCTGAACCACCGCACCCCGCGATCTCTGACAACCGCTTCTCCATTGCTATCTTACAATATCCTGCCCCAAAGGGAATTGTAGAAGGTCTTAACACCGGCGAACTTAGTACATTCAACTAGGACAACGGCACCTCATCACAGATGAAAATTCCACCACGCTCGCAAATACGAAGCCTCGTTACTCAATCAACCCAATCTGAACATTCTTAGCCAGATTGCCTTTCCCCCGGCGGGAATAAAATACCGAATCTCTAAATCATGCACTGAATAAACCTCCCTTCGAGTCATTCACTACCTCGACACGTAGGCAAGCATCCTACCATCACATCAATACTGCGCGACAATCGTTTATAAGTACTAGGGCAACTTGTACCTTGCCTCAGAGCTCTCAGAAGTACGACTACTGAGCTGAAACGACAGAATGTCCTTCCACAAGGCGACGACAATAGTCAAATCAACTACGCAGGGAGAAGCATCCCGCACCACCTCTATAGTACCTTTAAAATTTCTGAATTCCCGATTTATAATAAGCGCTTCGCTTCGCATAAGATCGATTTGGAAGGAAACAAAGGCATAAGCCTCAAAGGAATCAAATCGCACGATGAGGAAATCAAGAAAGGAAGTGCTCCTAACAGCCCTGTAGCCTCCTGAAAATAAGTACAGACGTCTCCGTACCGATCTGCGAGACTCTACTAGACTTGCTCATGACTCGTGAGACCTAAGGGAACCTAGTGCTCTGATACCATGTTGTCACGACCCAAAATCCACTAAGGGCCGTGATGGCGCGCGGACACCATTGTCAGGCAAGCCAACACTAAATAACTAGTAACTTCTCATTTTAGATATTTCTGAATTCATTTCTTTTGTACATTTAAACAATAAAGAATAAATTCCACTGAATAAATAATGATATCTTTAATAATTTCAAAGTACTGACTAATCCCATAGACATCCCAGAACCCAGTGTCACAAGCGCAGGAGCAATTACTAAGGAATCGAATAAAGTACAATAACTGTCTGGAATACAAATTGGACCGAAAGTAAACACAATACGCTGAAAGAGACTATACTAGCTGTGGGCCGCCTCGAGAAATGCAGCTCACCTAGTTCCCGTATCATCCATGCTGCTAAGCCTAGTAGGCCACTAAAAATACATGTGCTTGTGCAACAAAAATGCACAACAAGTGTAGCATGAGTACGAAAACAACGTGTACTCAGTAAGCATCCCGTCTAATCTCGAAGAAGTAGAGACGAGAGGTCGATTTAGACACTTACTAGTGGTCCAATAATGATACGTCAAAAATATAATAAATCGAGGATTTTTATAAACATGATTGTAATTCAATAGAATGAAGCAGGTTAACAAATCTTTCCTTTATAGGAAATTCTCAAATTCCTTTTCATCATTTATACATTTATTCTCAAGCCGGGAAGAAAAAATATCACTTCAATAAATTTCAAGGCAAGCAATACAAGCATGCGCAAATCATGCCGAGGTCGTACCACGCCGTCCAACATTATATAAACTGTGCACTGCCAGAGGGTCGAATGTCGCGAACCATAGATGCATCTATTTAATCTACCGAGGTGTTCGACCTGTTCCACAATAGATAAACATATTCAACAGTCAAATCAATAATTCATCAAGGAGCTATTATTCAGGAAAAGGCAAGTTTCTCTTTTAAAAGTCAAGAAATGATATCTAGCCTTTTAGAAATTCATTTACATGTTAGACATATTTTAAGCATTTTTAAATTTGTTAACAAAGTTGCATATATTACAAGTAAAGCATGCTTTTGGACCCTAAACTACCCGGACTTAAGCATAATAGTAGCTACGCAAGGACTCTTGTCACCTCGTGCATACATAGCTCCCACAAATAGGAGCAAATAACCAATTAACTCGCGTATGGGGACAATTTCCTCTTACAAGGTTAGAAAGGAGACTCACCTCGCTCCGAAGTTCTATAACCGGCATTCCACGCCCTTCCGAAGACTCAAATTGATGCACAACGCTTCAAAACTAGCCAATAATTATGCAAATCCATTAATATATGTTCAATTACTCATAATAATCTAATTTATAACAATTCCTAACCCCCGATCGAAAAGTTGGCAAAAACTCCCTCGGGCCCACGTGCCCGGGTTCTGAAATTTTTCGAAGATAAAGTTTACCCATAACCTCATGAAATCAAATATATAATTTACCCTCAATTACATGTCCAAAATCGTGGTCAAAATCCAAGAATACTAATTTTCTAAGTTTTCCACAAATTTTCATACTCAAATCCATATACAATCATGTATTTAACTCAAAACTAACATAAACCACTTACCTCATGCTTGGTGGTGAAAATGGCACCTCAAAGTTGCTCAAAAATCGGTTCTCATGGAAGAATGGAGTGAAAATGAGCCCAACCCTCGCTTTAAAGAAACCTCACTGCCCAGCGATTCTCGCACCTGCGGTCGCTTGACCGCTTCTGCGGTTCAGCAAGTGCATCATATAGTCCGCTTCTGCGATCCTCCTCCAACCCCTCCACTTCGCATCTACGCCTTCTTCACCGCAGATGCGGTCCCGCTTCTGCAGCGGGGTGACCGCATCTGCGGTCCCAGCACTCCCAGCCAAAGTCGCATTTGCGACCCTCATGGCCGCTTCTGCGTCTCCGCACCTGCGGTTAAAACCTCGCAGTTGCGGTTACACCGGATACCATCTGCTTCAATTCTTCATCAAATTCTAAATTTAATCCGTTAACCATCCGAAATCCACCCGGGGCTCCCGGGACCCCGTCCAATCACACCAACCAGTCCCAAAACACATTACGGATTTGCTCGAGGCCTCAAATCATATCAAACAACGCTAAAATCACGAATCGACCTCCAATCCAAGCTTAATGAACTTTAGAATGTTAAACTTCTACATTCGATGCCAAAACCTATCAAATCTCAACTTCCGGAATCGGAATCTGACCCCGATATCAAAAAGTCCACTTCCGGTCAAACTTCTCAAAAACCTTCAAATTTCTATCTTTAGCCAAATGACTCCAAAACGACCTACAGACCTCCGAATTCACTTTCGATCGCCCTCGCAATACCATAATCACCATACGGAGCTATTGCTAGACTCGAATACCCAAACGGACATTGATAACACTGAAATACACTTCAACCCAAACTTATAAAATTCTTCCAAAAATGCTAACTTCCACAATTGGTGCCGAAATGTTCCCGGGTCTTCCAAAACCCGATCCGGACATACGCCCAAGTCCGAAATGATCATACGAACCTGCTAGAACCTTCGAGTCCCGATTCCGAGGTCGTTTACTCAAAAATTCAATCTTAGTCAATTCTTTCAACTTAAAGCTTCCGAAATGAGAATTCTCTTTCCAAATCAACTCCGAACTTCCCGGAATTCAATTCTGAGCATGCGTACAAGTCATAATACCTGAAGTGAAGCTACTCAAAGCCTCAAACCGCTGAACGACGCGCTAGAGCTCCAAACGACCAGTCGAATTGTTACATATAAACTCTTTGTGATTGTGGTGAGCAATTTATTTTAGTTTATGCACTGCTTTTTGTAAGTCTTCTTTTTGCAATTTACAAAGTCACGTTTAGTAGTGTTGGTTTTCGGGGAGTGAAACTTGCAAACAGTGTTCACGAAAAGAACTATACTAGCAAAAAGTTCTATTATTTTAGGATTAAATATGTGATACTAATAGCTACTTAGAGCGGAAGGAGGATACATATTTTATGATGAGATACATCATAGATAGTGTGATTTGAATACTCTTAATTTACCAGACTGGGGATGGCCCGTGTCCAATATTGTAAAAGTTGAAACAATAATTTTTTATCAACCTTATTTTAATAAGAAATTGCAAATACTAAAAGTTAGTACATGTAAGTTATTATCAAATCAAATATAGACAATACCACATGCCAACTGCTGAATAACACATGTAACATCAAGGCATAAAAACATTCAAAATTGCCTTTCATCTAACTTTGAATGGATATTGTTCTCAAGAGGCCTTTATAAGCCTGAATCCTGAGACCTTGGCATCAAGCACTTCCATCAATATGTTGCTTCCTTTTATGTTACGACGCATCTCACTTAGTCTAATTCTTTCGTTCGGATTATTTCCCTGAAAAGCAGACATCCGTTGAAATTATCATGTTATCTTTTATCTATCATCCAAAAAAACATTAAAAACTTATCTTTTAGCAGGGCCACTGAATTTCATCTATCATCATCTTCTGCCTCCAAGCTCTTCTTCCTCGTCAGAAGATGTGTTCCTAAGAATGTCAAATTTCAGTAGTACGTACTAAGTCGTAAGACTGTAGCTTGGTACCTATCGAATATATATTGAAGAAGAAAACATTTGAAACATACTCATAAAGCAGAATTATTCTCTAAAGAGCATATAACGAACTATTTTACCCTTTTTTTTAGAAGGTAAGTAGAATAGACTATCTTACACTTAAAGATGATATTCTGATGACCAAACTAATGGCCACTCCCTAAAGTCCTTTTTTTCGTTCCAAAAACATGCGAGAATTACCAAACTGAAAAGTAAACTAAAATTGAATTCGAATCACAAAGCTAACCGGCGTTTCTATTTACCATTACCTGTTGGTGCTCGGGAGTCTTCCAAATTGAAAACCATTCCTAACATCTTTCAACAGGATAGCACTCTTAGGCCTTTGGAAACTGCATATGAAAATTCATTCTCAAACGCTACGCTAACGCTAAAAGCATATACCATATTCAAAAAAAAAAAAAAAGTAGTGCATTTTCTACAGTCACATTGTTTGATTTGCAAGTAAAAGCTAAGCATTTCGTATAGTAAGAATCAAACCCACTAATGGCAACTTTCCTCAGCTTTGCTGTGTTTTTATTATACTCGGCATCGTAATAGGTTAATTGGAATTATGTTTCTTTTATTTTTTGCTTTTAAGAAGCTAATAGGAATTATAGTTATTGTTGACATTAGCTTTAAAGATATTTGATCATGCTTCTTTTATTTTTGATAAGTAAAAATGCATTGACATGCCTCTTTCATGTAGAAATTACAGTCATTCCTTAAACTCAAGGTTTAATGAAGTTATTGTACAATAATATCACTAGCCAAAAGATCATCTTGAAACTCTTCCAGCTGCTCATTTATTATTGCATAGCAAATAAACAACAAATTCGTTCCTCAATCCAAAATCCTAGTGGAATAAGCAAAGTTTCTTTCACAATTATCCCAAAACGAACCAGATGTCTCTTTATTTTTTTTAGTTCTATCATTCATAATAAGATTCTCAAACGATTAGCACTGTTGGAATTTAAAGCATTGGGCTTCAAACACTTTAAGCATTGGGCTTTAAAGTCTAAGAGTGTGAATTGGAAATAGTGGGAAATAAAATGGAGGGAAATGAAAATTTGAATAAAGTGAGCTTTTGTCTTGAACTTTGTCCCTCATTGGTGAGGGACAACTACATTTGTGTCTATATATATATAATCACTTCTTAAAGCTCTTAAGAGGAGTTGAAGAGAATGAACCCTCGCGCCGTGACACCTTTTCCAGAACAAACATCACACCTCTTCCGATAATTGCCTATAAATTCTGAGGCATGGCTTCGTTTTTAACACATTGAAAAATTACAAAACTTCATTCTTTCTGAAAATACTGCATTCTAAGTTGAAATTCCTTAAGGACGCACAAGCAAATTGTGGACTCGGAATATTTCTTATTCTTTACTGTTTTCCAGTTTCTTTTATTCTTCTAACAGTTTTCTGATTTTGTGTTTTAACACAATAACACTTTATTTTTTCTACATGAAAAGTTAACCAAAAAGGTAAAAAGAAAAAAGAAAAGCTTATAGGAAGCATGGCCACTTCGTGACTAACAAATCTAGCAAATTTCGATGAACTTTAAAAAAAATTAGAAACAGGATGCTTTCAGTTTTTTATTTTCTCCTCCAAATAATTGATTCTTTTACTCTTCCAATTTTCCCATAAAACATCAAGGAATTACAGGCCATTCCATGGTAAACTTTTCACTTTTTCTAAATGGAATTTTAACCACCATTACTTTATGCCTGAAATGAGGTTAAAATATCATGGTATAGCCAGTTTACACACTGGTCAATGAAAAATAGCCAGCGTTTATCAAGTCAATGAAAAATAGCCACTATTTTGCTGCAACAGGGACCGGTCCAGTATAATATACGGGAGTTCTGGTGCATTTGTGTACGAACTCCAGCATATTATGCTGGACCGGTATACTTTGCTAACTCCTGTAAAATTTGCGGGAGACTGGAGCACCAGTGCTCCAAACTCCAGTATATTATACTGGACAATTATACTTGCTGGAACTCCCGTAAAATTTGCGGGGGTTCCAACATAATTATGCTTGAACTCCCGTAAAATTTGCGGGAGTTCCAGCATAGTTATCCTGGAACTCCCGTAAAATTTACGGGAGTTCAAGCATATTTATGCTGGAACTCCCATAAAATTTGCGGGCGTATTTTTCCGGATTTTGAACAGTGTTTTCGCTAAGATTTAAAGTGGCTAAATTTCGATGACTTTTGAAACTTGGCTATTTTTCAACGAGCAGTGATAAATCTGGCTATTTTTGAATTTCTTCCTGAAATGAGTTATGCATTTATAAAGAGTCATAAAGCAGTAGAAACAAACAAAAACATAAAAATTCAGTTAAAAGCAGAAAGTCAAAAGCAACTCTACCGATACCTTTACTTCCAAACCAATTGGTTTCTAACATCTAACCAACAATTTTTAGTCAACATCGATGTAATGGAAACCAAAAGAATAGAACTTCAATCACATAGGTATGATGAACAAAGTAGTAATGAATATAGGTTATTGTATGACTTCTAAGTTCAATGCCACGAAAATTCATTCAAAATTCGAAAACTTACTCATAAGAATGAAAATCCGATATGATCTTCGATAAATACCCAATAGGAGACTGAAAAAGCTAAATTGAGTGGTCCATCATGACCAAACATCTTGCACGTAAATGTCAACTGCACCAACTTTATTATTAGTTGAACTCTTACTCACAGAAAAATAGTGAAGAAAAGCAATGAGAACTATCACTCTCAATTGTAATGCAGTGAGAAGAAAAACAAAATCAAGAATATAAGCCAAATAGCGAAATGGTAGGTTGAAAGCAGAATTATGTAGCTTAAAGCTCATAATAGCTGAAATCTTTTAGTTTTGCAAATAATTATAAGAGTTGCTCGTACAAATCTTCTATTTAAAAAATCTAGCAGTTTAATTCTTTTAATATATAAGCACTAAGCCAAATTCAGTTTTTTTGCAAAGATGTGCCTATTTTGACGCATGGTAAATAACATACATCATTGTGATCTCAAGAGTAAATCAAAGGACCTTCGTTCTAGACGCCAGGAAAGACCAAGGACCTCATAGTTGTTCCATAATTTAGCAGAAGCAATGCCCTTGTCGAGTAATGCAAGTACAGATGAAGTATCACAATATTCCTCCTATTGGTCTGATGAGAATGACTGACCTTCGAGCTTTAAAAGTTAACCTTTGATCCAATGTTGCAAGACAAAAACCTTCGGGCAAACCAGCTTATCCATATAAAAGAGGAGGCTTTCCAGGTCTTTTACTCTTTCATATCGACTTCCCAAGATTTAACTACACGTGTCACTTAAAGATTAGAATTCTTAAACATCTCAGGGAATGATTATATTCTCTAGTTCTTACTCACAATTTAGATAAAAGCTTGTCCCTAGTAACTGCTTAATTTTTTTAATGTTTTCCTTCCAAGATTTAGCTAAACCTAAAGAAAGTGGATAGTCCACAGTAAATGATGCAAAAAGGTGTCTTTAATGGTACATTCTAATGGCCAGGGTATGGGTAATGATCCCTGTGACCAGGAGGTTCGCCATAATTGAGTATTTTTTTTTTAAATCGTGGGTATAATTGAGAAACTTATTGTTTGCAAATGCAAAGCTATAACAATATTTTGAATAATAAGCATGGACCATGTTCGAATTTCATAAAGGCATATAAAGAAAATAGAAATACAAATAACCAAACTCAACGGAGTTGTTGCCATCCCCGGCGAAGGAGTAATTTAAAGGTTATCTTCTCTGCTTCAGTAAACAAATTTCTATTATTTTTCTCTTATGCGACCCTCTTAATAATAGGATAACTAATATATACCCATTATATTTTCATTACCAAAAAATGAGTGCAAAAAAATAAGAAAGAAGAAACAAAACTCACCTGAAGTGAGAACTACAATTGAGGGTTACAGACAAACTGCACTAAAGAGGAGAAATTTGAAATTACACCTGAAACTACACCAAACAAATATTGAAATCCCTAAATTACCATACTCGTATTTCTCCAAGTCCCTTTTTTTCTCAGACAAATATCAAAGTTCGTAAACTACTAAAGAAGAGAAAAAAAACTCAAAATTGGAAGAAATCAGGATTTGCTAAGAGAGAACTGAAGAATCCAGATATATATGAAAAAGAAAGAAAATCGAAAGATATTATGCCGGCGATTAGGTCGGAATCTAATCTCTGCTAGAGAAGAGGTTTCGGACTCAATCGTCAATATTCATGTGTGAACTTCAACACTCTCAATTGTTTGGTACATATATGAAATCAGAGTTCTTAAAATTCCAATTTCAAAAATTAGGTTAAAATCCCAAAAGTTTTAACGATAATTTAAAGTGAAAAAAGTTGCCTACATGCAACACTTCATGGATAATAACAAACGGAGCAGCCAAGGAGGATGAGAAGAAAAGAGATTCGTGAAGAAGTAAGAAGAGCAAAAACGAAGTAGAAAAGCTAATATGCTCGGTGTTACAATATGGCAGCCTTCGATTTTAGCATACATCAGCCATGAAATTGCAAAATAAAAAAAGTACTGATAGAACACAGAAAACCACAGAAGTTCAATACTCAGCATGCTTAGAGTTTAAAAGCACAGTTTTACCACTCGATTGATTGCAAAGTTAAAAATCATGTAGAGAACCCAAAAGAAAATAGGGCAGAAATTAACAGCTTGTTTGGATGGTTGTTCCTTGTTGTATTGTATTGTACTGTTATCCCAAAATAATGGTTGTTTTGATTGTTTCATTAAAATTGATTGTATTGTATTGTTAAATCCATTGTTCCGGAACAATGAAAAATCCCCTTTCTTGAAACAACCGATTTGGTGTAGTGGGATTGTTTCCTATTTTTCTTTCCAATTATGACCTAACTTATTAATCCATAATTCTATTTTACTCTTTATCTTTTTCTATTTTAGCTCCAAATCTCCAACTTATAACCTACTTTATTTTTTTCCACACCAATGTTAAAGGTGTTTTGTTGCCTCCTATTTTATTTGTTTCTCCTAATTTGCTTGTTACTCAATTCTAATTAGTTGTGCTTCTTTGTTTTGACTTTTTCTGTCTCGCTCCTTTGTTCTGCTTCCTTATTGTATTTTGCCTTCTTCTGTTTTATTTTTTTAAATTATTTTTATACATAATTTTGATAAATTTAATATTTAAACAATTGAGAGTATTTTAGTAAACTTATCAATTACAGTACAGTACGATACAGTCAAAAATAAAGCATACAATCTATCCAAACATTGTATTCATAAAACAATACGGTACAATACGATACAATACAATACAATACATTATAAAACGATAGGGAACAATGATCCAAACAGAGTGTAAAAGAAGAGAAAAAGGATTGGGGAAAATCAGAAAAGAACCTACAACAATCACTGAACTTCAGAATCAAAACTAACAATGATGAAGAGAACCTAGAAGAAACCCAAAATGGAAAAAGAACGAAGGAAAAAGTAGAAAAAAGAAAAGTACAAAATTGATTGAAAGCATACCTGCAGCTAGATTTGTGAGTGAGAAGAATCAGGAAGAAGATGTGAGAATCACTCTCAAAATTAAATAACTTAATTATGTTGTTTGTTAAAAATACACGTGGAGCCATTTATAACTTACGCGTAAGTTTGTATAGACAAACCTAGACACGTACTATATGATATGTAAGAATTGAGGCGCAATATTCTTGAGCTTTTTAAAAATGCCATGAAACACACAAGTCTGAAACTCTTTCTCTTCTATATAATAGAAATGCTTTATATGTTATACTAAAACTTATTACTTTTCATAGTAAATAGACATCATAATAACAATGTGTCTCTTATCATCTAATGTTTAATAAAATAAAGTACCAAAAATTAATCAAAATGTATCGTTATGAAAAGAAATCGAGTTGATTGAGACAGTTTTAAAAAGTCTAATTTTGATCATGCACAATAGAGTAACCGAAAAATCGATATGCTATAAATTTCTTAAACTAATTAGTTAAATAGACCATGACATCATAATACATAATGTGGTTCAAATGCTCTTTCAATTTATATTTTACGTGTTATATTAAAGTTTGTTATATTTTACATAATAATGAGATATTCTAATAACATTGGGATTAGGATAGAACCATATCGAGCAAAATAGATATGATTAGAATGATTTTAAGTCTAAATTGGTTATTCATAATAGAATAACGAAAAAATAATATGATTCATTCGTACAATGCATGACTCATGTTGGTAGCGTGTTTTGCCTTTTTTGTTTCTTTTCGATATGGTGTTTTGGTTTCTTCATAGTCTCTTGCCTTCTTTATCTTACTATCAGAATCCTAATATGTGAGACATAAGTCCTGTTAGAAACTTATATAGTTTCTCTTGATACGACTAGCGTTAAGTTATAGTAAGTCTTGTGTCACCCTTAACCACCCTTTGTTGTATATCTTTTTCTTTCTTCTGTGCTTGCCTCTCTCTTTTAGTTATAGATAGATCCCTCTTTAAGGTAATCTTCCAAATTTGTAACGATCCGACTGGTCGTTTTGAGCATTTGCACTTGGCTCAATAGTTTACGGGTGTGAGTAGCTCTGTAGGATGTATTTTGACTTATGTGAATTGTCGGTTTTGGTTTTCAGGTTATTCGGGACTGATTTGGAAGAATGAGTCTCAACTAGGGAGCTTTAAATTTGAAAGAGTTGACCGAGTTTGACTTTTTAGTATTTGACCTCGGATTGGAATTTTGACGGTTTCTTTAGCTCCGTTGGGTGATTTTAGGCTTAGAAGCGCGTCCAGATTGTGATTTGGAGGTCCGTAGTTGAATTTGGCTCGAAATGTTGGATTTTTTTGAAAAGTTTGACCAAGAATGGACTTTTTGATATCGGGGTCGGATTTCAATTTTGGAAGTTGGATCAGGCCTGTAATGTCAAATGTGACTTGTGTGCAAAATTTGAGGGCAATCGGACGTGATTTGATAAGTTTCGGCATCGGTTGTGGAAGTTTGAAGTTTCAAGTTCATTGATTTTTGGATTGAGGTGTGATTCATCGTTTCGACGTTGTCATGTGTGTTTTGAGGCATCGAGTAAGTCCGTATTATGTTATGGGACTTGTTGGTACGTTTGGACGTGGTTCCGAGGGGCTCGGGTGAGTTTCGGATAGGTTTGGGTTGTGTTGCACTCGTTTTTATGTTTCGACGTTGTATCTTCAGGCATAAATGGTACTACATTAAACAAATGAGCTCGTATTTCTATTTTTATTGAAGCACTAGATCCGTGTCGTAATTACGGAGCCATAGCAAAAAGAATCATCGAATTTGGACATCGTATAAAGAGTTTATGGTCATTTTACTAAGAATTGGGTTGCCAAACTTTTCAGATTAATTATAGATGAAGCTATGAACTTGGGCTCCTTTGTGAACAGATAGAAAGTGATTGAGTACAACCATGGGCCTCCATGTAGAGCTTTAAACATGTTTTCTTCCTTTTGGAATTTGATAAGGAAGAAATCAAAACCAAGATCAATTAAAGGAAGATCTTTAGTTGGGTTCCATAAGGAAATAAGCTTATTTTTTAATAACTGATGTTCTATCTTCCTACCAAAGACTTTTATTATTACCGAGTATTTTCATGGAGAATATAAACGGCATTTTTCTTTGGCAGTTATTGGGCTAAAAATATCGTCATCATTACGAAATTGCCACTGACTTTGTATTTAAAAATCTGCTCCATCTTAGAATATTGAAACCAACATATCTCGTTCAATATAAGATCAAATGGAGTGATTCAAGAGCCCTACTTGACTAGAATTTCACAAGGAATGTAACGACCCGACCGGTCGTTTTGCCATTTAGAACCCCGTTACCCTAAATAGAGCCTCCCGTACTTGCCTTAACTAATTTACGACTTGCGGAGGCGATTGGTTCGGGAGTTGGAAGGGTTTTGAGTAAAATATGCTCATTTGCTTCTTTAAGACTTTCTTAAAAGACTAAGTTTGACTTTGGTCAATATTTTGGGAAAACGGACTCGGATTCGTGATTTGACAATTTCTGAGGATCCATGGGAAAATATGGGACCTGGCATGTGTCCGGAACCGAATTCCGAGGTCCCTAGCCCGAGTAATAAATTTTTATCTAAAATTGTTTAATTGAAGCTTTAAAGAATTAAAGAAGCTAAGTAATCATTGATTCCCTAGGTATCGGGCTCAGATTTTGGTTCCGAAGCTTGGTACAGGTTCGTAATGTCGTTTAAGACTTGCCCGTAAAATTTGGCGTCAATCCGAGTAGATTAAGGGCGTTTTGACCCGTTAGAGGAGAATCAAGAACTTGAAGATTCAATAGTTTGATTCATTTGGTTTTAGGGGGGTGATTCCAAGATTTGGCGTTGTTTTGAGTGATCCGAGGGTTCGAGTAGGTCCGCCTCGTGATATCAGACTTGTCGGTATGTTCGAGCGGGGCTCGGGAGCCCCGAGCGTCAAACGAGCGAGGTTCGAGCGAAGTACAAAAACTTAGGAAGAGCTGAAGATTTTGCTGCTTCTGTCATAACCGCATCTGCGGTTTTTGAGCCGCAGAAGCGGGACCGCAGATGCGGTCAGGCCATCGCAAAAGCGAAAAGGGAAGGCCAAGGTATCATCGCAAAAGCGAAAAGGGAAGGCCAAGGTATGCGTTCCCCAGACCGCAGATGCGGTCCAGTCACTTTAGGCCCAAGCCGCAGAGCGGCCCAGTAACTGCATAAGCGGTTCCGCATATGCGGGCCTCAGACCGCAGAAGCGGTCCAATCCCCTCTTGCCCAGTTCCGCAGATGCGGCCCCATCTTCGCAGATGCGGGACCGCAGATGCGGTCCCCTAACTGCAGAAGCGGAAATCGCTGGGTAGCGGCCTTCATTTAATTCGAACTCAAACACCATTTTTTCATTTTACACTCCACACTTAGGCGATTTGGGGGCTTCCAAAGAGAGGGTTCCAACATAGCACTTCAAGGTAAGTTACTCCCATTCATTATTAGTTTAAATACATGTATATTAGGTAGATTAAACACTAAAAATTAGATAAAATCAAAGGGTTAGAGCTAGACCTAGGGTTTTAATAAAATTAAGATTTAAGCATGAAATTTGTTATGGAATGGACTAGAATTTATATATTATTGATCCTTAGGTTGTAGAGAACAATTTCCTTCGAAAAATATCGGAATCCGGGCACGTGGGCCCGAGGTCAGAATTTAGGAAACTTGTGGAAAAGGTTGAAAAATTACTTAAATAGTTAGAATTTGACCTTTTAAGCCTTTATTGACTAGTTCTTACCTATTTTAACTAGTTTGCGATCGTTCGGCTTCGAATTAAGAGTTTGGGCTTGTTCTCAATATTGGGAGCGCGCTTTGGAGCGAGGTGAGTCTCTTTTCTAACCTTGTAAGAGGGAATTGTCCCCATAGGATTAATAATTGAGTAATTGTTGCTAAATGCGGGGGCTACGCACGCGCTAGGTGACGAGAGTCCGTGCGTAGCTACTACTATGTTAATGATCCGGGTAGTTTAGGACCCACATCATGCTTATTTTACGTGACTCTCTATATTATCTTGTTACTACGAGCACCTAGGATATGCTAGAGATTTAAAAAGGGAATAAGAACGTACTTGTACAACTGTTGAAGTCTTGCTTGGCATTTATGACTATTGATGTGCCTTGTGTGTATACTTGATATTTCTTC